CCACTGTACTCCAGCCTGGGCGACAGGGCAAGGCTCTGTCTCAAAAAAAAAGAAGGCCAATAAGGTAAAATACAGATATGCACTGCTCAGAGCGTGGAGAATCTGTCTTTGATCAGCCTGGGTGTCCCACCGCATGACATTCAGACCCCGGGGCAGCAGCCCCACCTTCAGGCATGGTCCTGGCGCTGACGTAGGCTGCCACACTGCACCGTTCCTCAGGGGTGTCTTGGTTGCAAGCCTGCAGCTCGATGCGATAGCCCGTGAAGTGTCGCAAGCCGGAGATGACCAGCGACTCCTTGTTCACCACCTTCTCAAAGGGCCTGTGCTCCTCCGGACTCGTGGGCGTGCTGGTCGAGGAAGTGTTGGGGAAAGCTGCCACCGTGGGCACGGCCACCGTCACATTCCCAACATCGCCAAGGGACCTGCGTTTCCGAGATGGCCTGGAACGACAGTAGGACATGCATGATCACACCATCACCATCATTTTTTTTTTTTTTTAAATGACGCTGGAGAATTAAAAGGCTCGATGAAGAAGAAAGATCAGAGTGCAGGAGGGTGCAGCGGTGGAGAACATGGATTACAATGCAGACTGCCAGGAATGACCACCCAGAGCAGCTTTCAAGATGCCCTTGTGAGCACCTGAAGGATTAGAGCAGGCCCACCTCGTGAGGGATGAGTGCTTCTAAGACCATCAATAGTAGACACACACCGATATTCCCCTCGACATGCTCGATTTCAGGTTTTTCATTTTGCAGATAAATAGGCCAGCCAGGGTCAGTGACAAAAATAAGACACCAAAAGCACGTAAGAGTCTAGCTTCTCAGGAAGCCCTGCCAAATGGCATTTGCTCAATGGTCCAAGTTACTGATCGACATCGTCAGTTTAAACAGGAAAAAATACGTCTTCTCCTTCTTATGACTGCTTAGGGCACCTGCATAATTTGAGTGATTAAGCTGTAATTCTTAGAAAAGGAATCACATCACTCAGGTCAGGAAGATTAACTCCAAGAAACATCTGTGCAATCAGCACACTTCTCCCCATCCCTTGAAAAGATCCATCAAACAACAAATGTTGATAGCTAGCAAATTTTAAAATACAAAGAAAAAAGGATAAAGGAGAAAATGTAGGCTGGGCGAGGTGGCTCACACCTGTAATTCCAGTACTTTGGGAGGCCCAGGCGGGCAGATAACCTGAGGTCAGGAGTTCGAGACCAGCCTGGGCAACACGGGGAAACCCCGTCTCTACTGAAAATACAAAAATTAGCTGAGCCTGGTGGTGTGCAGCTGTAATCCCAGCTACTCAGGAGGCTGAGGCAAGAGAGTCACTTGAGCCCAGGAGGCGGAGGTTGCAGTGAGCCAAGATTGCGCCACTGTACTCCAGCCTGGGTGACAAAGCGAGACTCTGCCTCAAAAAAAAAAAAAAAAAAAAGAAAGAAAGAAAAGAAAATATAAATCACTTATAAATCCACAGCCCACTGCTTCCTTTGGGCAATTTTTTCCCCGTAAATATTATGTGTGAACATGATGAGCATCAAGCCTGTTTTATAAGCAAACTTGGTTTACTTGTTATATTGGAAGCATTTATTAAATATTTTCCTTTCAACATAACATCTTAACTAGGAGAGAATTTGGGGATTTTTTCCTTTTTAATGTTAGGGTTTTCCCCCATCACCTACAGAAGTAGCATGTGCTCCCTGCAGAAAACTTGGTAAATGATGAATGACTGTAAAATATTCCATTTACTACATGAGTCATCATTCACTTAACCATCCTCCTTATTTTATTCATTTTGAGGCAGAGTTTCACTCATGTCACCCAGGCTAGAGTGCAGTGGTGCAATCTCGGCTCACTGCAACCTCCACCTCCTGGGTTCAAGCGATTCTCCTGCCTCAGCCTCCTGAGTAGCTGGGATTACAGGCGTCTGCCACCATGCCCAGTTAATTTTTGTATTTTTAGTAGAGACGGAGTTTCGTCATGTTGGCCAGGCTGGTCTGGAACTCCTGACCTCAGGTGATCCACCCACCTCAGCCTCCCAAAGTGCCAGGATTACAGGCATGAGCCACCGTGCCCGGCTCCCTTTTTTTTTTTTTTTTTTTTTTTGCTGTTATAAATATTCCTTTGATCATTATCTGATTGTCTTATTACTTCCCCAAAGTAGATTCCTAGAGGAAAATATCACTAGGTTCAGGGAGATAAGAAACTCTTTACGCTTCTTAATATCTACAGCTAAATGGTTGTCCAGAAACTCTAAATTGACTTCTGGTTCCACCAGCAGGCCATGAGACTGCATTCCAGGACAATCTCAGCAACCCTAAGCCTTAACAGTTTTTTTTTTTTTTTTCCTTTCTGTGTTTGTTTAGTTTGTCTAGATTTTTAACCCAAGAGATTAAAAATATGCTATCACTCGACTATGTTATTTGCAGATCTTTATATTACTGTGACTTCATTTTTCCTTTATTGGTTCTCTGTGATTCTCCAAGGAATTGTCCCCTCCTTGTCCTTTGTTTTTCCCTGAATTCCTTGTGCTTTCCTTACTCCTGTGTTGTTTATTCGTTAAGGATATTAACCTTTTATGTATCATGCTACACAACTTACTCTTTTCCATTTGCCAGTAAGCTTTCTTTAAATGGTTTGATACAGGCTTTCATGTTTATTTATACAATTTAATATATCAGTAACATTTTAAAATTTGTTCCCTTACAAGTCATTCTAGATGGAGTTATTACGAGTTGTGCTAAGGTTTTATGGCAATTTGGAAAGGGATCTTTTTCCTTATTTTATATTCTAATTATTGCTTGTATATCTACAGTTTTTTTTAGTTATTTCTATTGTACCTACTTTCCCAAACTCTAACTCATTTTAAAAGTTTCATAATTGACTTTCTTGAGTTTTCAATGATATACTAGAAGAGGGGTCAGCAAATTTTCCCGTAAAGGGCTAGATAATAAATATTTTGGGTTTTGCAAGCCAAATGACCTCTGTCACAACTACTCTGTCATTGTAGCTTAAAGCAGCCCTAGATGATGTGTAAACAAGTGGGTGGGGTTGCATTCCAATAAGAGTTCATTTACAAAAACAGGCAGCTAGCCCATGGGCCATAGTTTGCCTACCCTTGAGCTAGACACTCTGCAAATAGCAATGACTTTATTTCCCACATTCCATTCTTTGCAACTCTAATTTCTGTTTCTTGTCTTATTACATTGGCTGGATGCCCAGAGAAATGTTAATTAGTAATGATGAGATGGGGTTTCCTTGTTTTGTTCCTAAGTATACTAAGAATAATTTTAAGAATGACGTTAGCTTGGCTGTTGGTTTAACCTAGGTAACATTTATCTTGTAGAAGAAATATTCTATTACTAGTTTTATGAGAGGACTCTTTTTTTTTTCCTCCCCTTTCTCTAAGTTAGGAATTTTAAATTAAGGTTATTGAAATAGGTATGATCTTCCTTATTGCACCTCTTGATGAAATAGATGATGTTATCAAATCTTCTGATCTTAAACCATCCTTGCATTTTGGAGATAAACAATATTGCCAGTGCAGTGTTTTATTTGGGACATTTGAATCTAATGTCACATATTAGCTTGGCCTGTGGCTTTTGTTCAGTGCAGTATCTTTGTCAAGAATTTTTTTTTTTTTTTGAGACAGAGTCTCACTCGGTTGCCAGGCTGGAGTGTGCAATGGTGTGATCTCAGCTCACTGCAACCTCCGCCTCCTGGGTTCAAGTGATTCTCCTGCCTCAGCCTTCCAAGTAGCTGGGATTACAGGCATGTGCCACCATATCTGGCTAATGTTTGTATTGTTAGTAGAGACAGGGTTTCACCGTGTTGGCCAGGATAGTCTCAATGTCTTGACCTTGTGATCCGCCCATCTTGGCCTCCCAAAGTACTGGGATTACGGGCCTGAGCCACCGTGCCCGGCCTCTTTGTCAATTTCTTTAAGGGTGTTATGTTCATTTCATAATATGAACTGGGACAATTTTTATAGATTTCTATGCCCTAAAATAGTTTTGATATTATAGGAAATAGATGCTCTTTCAGAACTTGAAAGAACGTGTCTATAAAACTCTCCAGGCCAAGGGATTTTTTTGAGGAAATTAATTGACACGTATCTTTCTCCAAGGTTCATAACCACTTAATTTTTCTGCTTATTTTTGAATCCATTTAGACAAGTTAAATTTTCCCACCATGCTGAAACTTTCAAACTAAGCAAGTGCACAGTTGTCCAAAGAACTTAACACATTAAAATTTTCTTCAGACACTAGTTTTATGTCATCTTCTTTCCTTCTGATTTCCCTTTGACTATGTTTACCATAGGCTTAGCTGTTATTGCTTTTCCCTTCCTGTCTAATACATTTATATTTTATAGTTTAAAGTTTATTTCTTAATGTATCAATCCATTTAAGTCTGCTAACTAACATCAAAGCCAAGCTTTGGCAATATTCTACAAGTGAAGGTATATGATATTCATGTTTTCATTATTTTCCAAAAGGACTTCAATGGAAGTTTCCATTTCTGCTTTGACCCAATAGATATGTAAGTGTTTAACTTTTTAACTTTTTTTTTTTTTAGATGGAGTCTCGCTCTATTGCCCAGGCTGGAGGGCAGTGGCCTGATCTTGGCTCACTGCAACCTCCGCCTCCCGGGTTCAAGTGATTCTTCTGCCTCAACCTCCCAAGTAGCTGGGACCACAGGCACGCGTTACCATATCTGGCTAATTTTGGTATTTTGAGTAGAGATGGGGTTTCACCATATTGGCCAGGCTGGTCTCAAGCTCCTGACTTCGTGAGGAGCCTTGGCCTCCCAAAGTGCTGGGATTACAGGTGTGAGCCACTGCACCCAGCCTGTAAGTGTTTAACTTTTAACCACCAACAAGTAGTTTTCTGTTTAAACTTTTGAAATTAACTTTTAGTTTCTATTGCAACGTCACCAGAAAATGTGTGGTAAGAAAACAAATCCCACTTTGGGGGCATTTGTTAAGATTTTCTTTGTGGTCTTTTTGTATTAAAAGACCAACAACATTCTAGAATGGAAAAGAAAACAGCTCCACCACTTACCAAGCCAAAGATATATCCATATGAGCAAGATTCAGATAATTTCTATACATGCAATGGGTCTTGTGAAAATAACCAAGACGCTGGTGCTTCATGAATAACTACTGAGAAATTGATACCTGAATAACCAGAGATGTAAAACGGGCTCATCAAATAGGCCAAATGGGTTTATATACCAAAAAGACCATGAAGTGGCAAAAGACAAAGCATCAACCGAGTGTTCTACTTCTTACATAGGCAGAATTTTTTTTTTTTTTTTTGAGATAGTCTTGCTCTTTTGCCTAGGCTGGAGTGCAGTGCGGTGATCTCGGCTCACTGCAACTTCCAATTTCTGGGTTCAAGCGATTCTCCTGCCTCAGCTTCCCAAGTAGCTGGGATTACAGGTGTGTATCACCATGGCCCCGCTAAGTTTTGTATTTTTAGTAGAGACGGGGTTTCGCCATGTTGGCCACGCTGGTTTCGAACTCCTGACCTCAGGTAATCCGCCTGCCTGGGCCTCCCAAAGTGCTGGGATTACAGACATGAGCCACGGTGCCCACCCTAGGCAGCATTTCATTATCCAACAATCCCACACTAAACTCGTGGTCTCAACCAAGGGTCCTTCTGCCCCCATCCCCCAGGGGGATATTTAGCAACGTCTGAAGATAGTTTTGGTTATTACTTTGGGGGGAAGACATGCTACTGGCATCAGATGAGTGGAAGCCAGTGATGTTGCTTAGTGTTGCTGGACACTGCCCAGGACAGTTTCCATGCCCTAGAATAGTCTGACCCCAAATATGATTTTTTATTATTAATTACTATTATGTATTTATTATTTTTTTTTTTTTTTTGAGACAGAGTCTTGCTCTGTCACCCAGGCTGGAGTGCAGTGGCGAGATCTCAGCTCACTGCCACCT